TTTTTGCCTGTGATTTTCTCACAAAGACATAGAGGTGTGTGAGTGTGTGTGAGTGTGTGCTCATGCATCGTCATGGTGAGTTATTCTCAGTAACGTTGGATCTCCAAGGTAGATCTCCAAAAAACAGTGTTTTAGCTGTGCGTCTAGAGAGCTGTTCCCATAGGTGATGAAAAGTCACACAGATTTCAGAGTTGGCACAAACACCTCTACACAGTTTTGTGTAGCTATCTTTGTGAGGACACTCACTGACATTATGAATTCCCTAGCCCCTTTAAACCAACCAGTTCATTAGAACTGAATCTATTATTGTGGGAGAAACCAAAATCTTCAAACCTCATGGTCATACACACTCAGACAACAGACAGGGTAACTGTGCGTATGTGTGTGTGTGTGTGTGTGTGTGTGTGTGTGTGTGTGTGTGTGTGTGCGTGTGTCATATCCGCCTACTAATACTCCCTGCCTGTTTGTTCTTGCAGCTATTATGGAGGCCCATGAGGACTTCTTTGTCTATAAAAGTGGGATCTACAAACACACTGACGTCAGCTTCAACAAACCTTCACAATACCGCAAACATGGCACACACTCAGTCAGGATCACTGGGTAAGTAACCTGTATTTACATATCAAGCTGTATTAGTTATAACTTGACAATAAATACAGGTTTTGTTTTTCTTGCAAACCTCATTAGACTCAATATAAATGTATAAAGTACAGACTGAGCTGGTATCCTATGCTTTTGTGTTTGACGATAAAAGCTTTTATCAGAAGGAAACTCACTGGTATTGGTCCATAAACTTTATACTGGGTGGACAAACACATTTGCCTCCTCTCTGCCCAATCCAAATCTTCATCTACCTCATTTTGCTGTTGCTACATGCTCAATAGATGCCATTTCAGCAGAAAAGAGTTTATTAAGCATGGATCAGGTTTTAATTGAGCAGCTGTCTGGTATCAGGCTTGAGTCCAAGCTTCACTTGCACGTGCGTGTGCACGCAGCCAACGGTGTAAGTGTGAATAAGCTTCCCTCGCAGTCTGTTGCTCTTGGAGACGCACCTTGGCTCCACTCCTCTGTCTGTCCCTAGACAATGTTCCCCTCCCCCTTCCTCTGCAGTCTAGTAACTTCAGCGACCACAAATATGCATGCAGGTAGACAACTGACACACCTGGCTTATCTGCCCCCACCCTCTATCTCTAGTTATTCCCCCACTTGTTCTCTTCTAACTCGGTGGTGTCTCCCAGCCTTGTTCCTCAGGCTGTTGGACTCACCGATCATCCCGTTTCATCTTGTTTGTTTGCCTTTCCACATCCAAGGCAAAATACTCTTGTTATCATTTAGACTTATCCTGAGACAGACAAATTGTTGCTGTTTTTATGAGTTGAGGTTTTAAAAGATCATAAATGTTTTTTTTTACTTGTAAATAACAGGGGTTCTTATCTGTGAGTCATCCAGCTGGTTTGTAAGAGTGTACGTCATAACAGTGATGCATTTCTGCTCACTGGACTCACTTTCCCAGTGAGAGAAGATACCTTGTAATGGGTCTAGAATGGAATGTGTCTTTATGAACATTTGACTGTACCTCAGTGTCTGAACTTGTCTCTGACTTTAAAAACCATTTCAGAATTGGAAAAAGCCTCCAGACAGGGGAGATCAACACCGTGATAAAAACAGTCTCGATATTTTTAACTAATTGGCCTCTGAAAGACAAGGGATTTTCAGCTTTCCCTGTCCCTTTTTCTATGCATGCCTTGCATGTATATTTATGACATCATCTTATGATATCACATGGCATGTAAAGACGTGTATGACAAATAGTCACACCTTGACCCTGTTCTTAGCTTGTTTACATCACATACTTGCTGTTCTGAAATGTTTTCTTAGAAAACTGTGGATGTACATGTTTGTTGACTATGCTCATGTCAGGATCACACTCCACAGAATGGAGGTGTGACATGATGCTGAGGATGAATGTGAGGATTCTCAGCTCTCCAAATGCCTCCTACTGTCTGGCTCCTCCTACTGATGCTGTGATTCTTTATCACTCACTGGGTGGATGTACCAGTTATATGGGGTTAAGGACAAGATGGAGTAAATAGAGCAGGGGTGAACATAATGTTTTGAGCTCCAACCTGGCAGCCACAGGCATCATTGTATTTACAAAAGCCAAATCCCCATAGCAGTACGATCCCATAAGCCCAGGGCCTGGGAAAGTTTGTGGAAAGAGCATTGAGGTCCACTGTGGTGGAAAAGGCATTGTCTAGTCTAGGCTGCTGATCCTGACTGCACCGGACAGAGAAAGGGGGAATAGTCCTCTGGAGAAGAGGTCAGGGGCGGGGCACGTGGGCACAGGAGTATGCCCATCACTGTTCCCCCTACCTGAGCAAGTGAGTTGACTGGATCGACAGTGCTCCAGTTCTGTTCAACTCTCTCCGAACCAGTAGAACTGTGTCAGACAGGCTCACAAACACAAATCATGTTTTCCTGTTTATTTCAGGCTGTAGTTGACATCTGTTCTGTTTTTAATGTGTCTGCTCCTGCTCAATGTGACATGTGACTAGTCAGGGAAACACTGGACAATAAAGTCACTCCCTGATAGAAGGAAGGTTGGTACTATCTGCCAGTGTTGTGGTGGCAGGCTACTAAGTTGGTTGAGTCTGAGAGCAGCCGCTCTATTTCCCAGCATTCCTTTCCCTTATAAAAGATAAGTGATTTGGCACAGGGAGTCTCTTGGGAAGCGAAAGGCCTGGAGTGCAAAAACAGGATGAGAATTCACTTTGGGAGAATGTTTTGGCCAAGACAAGCAGAAATTACAAACGTTTAAAAATTTGCAGGTGCTAAGCTAAGCCCAAAGTGTTCGGTATGATAGGAATTAATTGGTCTTTGCCAAGTTTTTCTAAGAACAAAAGTGTGGGACAAGGGAAAAGTCCACAATGTTCAGATTCACACGTGTGTACTTGTCTGTTTTTCTTAGTTTTGTTGTTTTGTTATCGGTACACTGACAAGACTCTTCCTCATAACCTACACTCCCCTTCCTGTTTCATATGTGGAGTACAGAAACGGCAGAGAAGAAGGGGAATTTAAGAATTGTTGGATTGGAATGATGTTGCAGTGCTGCTAAGTGGTTTCCAGCCATAAATGCGTTTCAGGATGTTGTTAACAAGATGTTTTTCTTTTGACTTTTCTTACTTTTCTTACTTACACTGTTTCATGCTTTTCTCAGTAACGCCAAGTGTGTCCAAACAGATACATTCCTGAGATCTGTTGTCATCAGAAGCCATATTTGTTTGACTTTAAAAATGGCTTTGCAACTCTCCAATACTGCTCATTTGATTTGAGAATGTTTTGTTGCCTCGTCACGCTCATGCATGTAGAGTAACCATCCTCTCTGCTTTGTGCACCAGGTGGGGAGAGGAGAGACACACTGATGGTACATCAAAAAAATATTGGGTAAGACCTGCTTTTTCAATGTAAAACACACAAACATCAGATGCTGAGTCTAAAAAATGTACCTTAAATTGCAACATTTGATAAATGTCTCCTTCATAGATTTTGTAAACAGCTCTTAATCAGCTTGAAACAGTGTTGTTTTTCTCTAATAATAAAGTAGAGATTGTAAAGAAAGTGTATGAAAGAGCTCAAAGTTCGTTTTTGTACATTTATATATTTTATTGTATTTTACATCTGTGTAATAAATTTCCTCTTCAGATTGCTGCCAACTCCTGGGGAAAGAACTGGGGAGAGGACGGGTACTTCCGTATTGCTCGTGGGGAGAATGAGTGTGAGATCGAAACATTTGTGATTGCAGTTTGGGGCAGGATCACAATGGAGGACATGCACAACCATCATCACCACCATCGTCGCCGACACATTTAGAAACACAACAGATGTTAAAACCCCACCAAGCCTTTTGTTTTTATCCCACCCCACAGAGGAGAACCATACCAATAGTTCCTTGTTCACCAAGGTGTTGGTAGCCACAGAACCCTTGAACATGTTTTTATACATCTTATTTTTACTCTGAGGATCAATCTCCACTGTCTTTACTATTTTAAGAGAACAACCTTTCCCATTTCTCCTGCAACTTAAGGTTTATGGCAACAAAAACACAAAGAAAAACTAAGCCAAAGTTCTTCGATTCTGCCTCGATTAAGCACCTCAGGTACTGATTGTTCCAAAGAACACACTTCCCAGAATCCTTAGCATAATATCTGGTGAAACATATCATGGTGGCTGATCACAGAAGGACAAGCTTACGCTGATACTCTATGTGTCAGCCTGAACCTTTAGTCTTCTCTAGCTTTGAACCTCTAACAGGTGGACCCCATTTCAAAGGAACTACTTGGAGAAAGGAGTGTTTGAGAGCCATATTATCAGACATCAGACCATACACACCTGGCCTGACTGTGTGACATGAAAATATATCATAGATGACCCTAATGATATTTTTACCGGTCAACTATACACACACACACAATTTGGTTCAGGCCTCTGGTTTAGTGTGATGGTAGAGTTTCTCACACATTCCACTAAAAATGTAGACTCTGACAATGGCAACACAAGGAGATTTAAGATTTAACAGTATAAGATTACAAAAACTCTGAGATTTTAGGAAGATTTGCAACAACCAGAAAAACTGTAATTAAATGTAATAGTGAAACAAGAACATCTTGGCCCAGTGTTGTAGTAGTCGAGACTAGGACTTGTACTTGAGCACTCGGACTTAGATAATGCAGATGAGGAATCTGACTTTTTTGTAATAAGCCATAATAATTTGGCATGAGATACAAATATTAAAACGTGTTGACCTGTCCCGTGCTGTATCTGGCATACTTCTAGTGAAACATACGCTCTGCCTATCAAAAACCACACTGTTCAATTCTAAGTTGTGTGTGTGTGTGTGCGCACATGCCTGAGTGCATTTTTTTGGGTATTGTGTCACACACAATAAGTAAGCTCCTTTTAAAATGGTGAGAGCTGTGCCAAGTTGTGTGTAATATAGACCCTGATGAGACGGGTAACGGGGACTCAACTCGGACAATGCTTTGGTGACTCAGACTTGATCACCGGAAACTCGAGACTCAACTCGGACTCAAGGTTTAGTGACTCAACTACAAGACTGTCTTGGCCCTTCTTCTACATGTATTGCTTTACCAATTAAGCATGTTCTGTATCCTTTGTTCTTGGCTGCAGGTGAAATAAAGTATTTTCAGTCATGCTAAATGAAAAAGCCACTATGAGCTGAGCAGTGATAAAGATATAAATAAAAGCCATGCTACCAACCCTGACCCCACCATCTCATTTAAGAAAATAATTACACTGATGCATTAACAGGTTGAATAGCTTGTGATGCCTTAAAGAAACAGACTTGTTTCAACCACTGCAAATGAAAGTGATTGTGTATAGTAGACTTCATTTACACTGTTGCAACTTGGGCTAAAGATGTTGCTTTTTGTTGCAGTTGTAGTTTAAAGTTTTATTTTCCTACTTGTTGTGAGATGTACTGTATGCAGTCACTGCTAAAGTTCAGTCTATGATATACTGTATGTCTTTAGTTTGATGCATTTCATAGTATGTAATAAACATGTAGAGCCACTTCCATCTAACACCAGTTCAGGTTACACACTTTAAAGATAAGCTGTTTGGCTTGTTTATGTTCTCATTTTTGTTTTTAATTGTTATTGTGTTCTGCTGGAATTTGAATATGATCAGTATCAGTACATGTCCCTATATTTGTTACAGTATCACAGCGCTTTCAATTGATCACAGGCTCATTGAGGGATTTTCAGATCAACCACAGCATCACTTGAAAAGGAAAGTATGGCGTATTATTACCACTTATCTTAAATTACACCCTGGCTTTTACAGTTTTATATCATCGTGTCTTGTAAGCGTTGATTATTGTTCTATTGCCTTTGGGCAAAGATAGGCAGACAGACATAGAAGAGAAGAGTGCGGTTGGACAGCTAATGTGCAGTGGGGCAGAGGTATACATATACATGAATTAGCAGTTGTTGCAATGTACAGAAATGTTTCATTTTGAAATAAGCAAAGGCTTAGAAGGATCAAGAGCACAGCAGGTTTACAGTACATTACAAAACTACTAGAACAATGTGAAACAGCATTTTGGTCTGAAGAGACTATGATTGTGTCAGTTTTCTGTCTGAGAAAGAAGAAGACTCTTCAAATCTATAAGGTCGTCCATACGTTGCTAAAGCTCCTTTACAATAGAGAGAAGAGGATGAATAGAAACTAAATTAGGTGCTGCATTAATCTATGTTACTTTGCTTGCAGAAATTCTGCATGTCTCATTCATTACAATTTGTGCACAAAGTCAGAAAGCCATTAAGATTACAGAAGAGTTCATAACCTCCCTGCTCCAGAGTGACACCAATGTAAGATGCAAGAGTTCCATATTGTAGAGACAAATCAGAGCTATGTTAGGACTACGATGATCCTAGCCCTAGTTTAAACCTTTTGGCTAAGCTCATCTTAACATTGAGTTGATTATGACCAAGGAAAGCCCAGTTACTGACAGTGTAACTGGTTTGTATCAGTTACACTGAGGAAAGCAGACAAGTGAGTATTTTCTTTAGTAGAAGAAAGCAGTGAAATTTAACCAAAGCTTGAATTAGTTTTGTTGAATAGAGATATCTCGTCAGTGTCGTTTCATTTTCATTCAGGTTTACTGTTAGCTTGGACCTAAATTCTACATATGATATAATATGTAAAGATGTAGAAAACAGCATTCTCAAGCAAATGTTCGCTAACAACATATGCAATTTTTTATAATTATTTATATATAGAAGTTTAGATGGGACCAATAACACCAAAATGTATTGCTTAGAAACTTATCTATACTTGCAGCCAGTTTTCTGCAGCATCAGTGTCTCCTCTAACAAACTGGCGCCAGGAACTGTAGCAGACTTCCACTTAGAAGTTATGTATTTTATGCAAAAATACCACTTCATATTCACTGGTTTATGTGACTTTATTTATGAAAAGATGAGTATATTATATACTTTAATTCTTCTTTGTTTTCCTTGCAGTGTTTTATTATCTCTGTCTCTTGTATTGTGTGCACTAGATGCAATGCTATATTATCGTTCACTTGTGGAGCACAATAAAGTCTTTCCAAAACCTCCCTATCTCACAGGTAAATTATGGCACGTATCTGTCCTGTTCTACGACTTTTCACATCTTCTACATTGTCAAGTCTTTGAACGAATTCTACAACTATTAAAATGCCTCCAAGGGGGAAAAGAGCTAATAAATCAGAAGCGAATGAGGATATGGAGGCAGAAGAAGTGTATCACAGAGCGGCAAAAGTATTATCAAAGTATGTAATTATGTAAGAATGTTAACAGTCTGTAATATTTTTTAGTATATCACTAGCGTGGTGTAGAACAAAATTATCTATGTAGTAATACTGCTTGCAAACCAATGATGATAAGATGATGTCATGGGGTAGGACTGGATAAGTCTGACTTCTTCCTACTCCGTTCAAGCATGTACTAGGTATAAGCACATTGATAATGGATTTGTGGATATGTGTGAAATTATGTGTGTTGACATATTGACTGTCTTTACATGTTTGAAAAAAAAAAAAATAAATAAAAATAAATAAGTATGTAGGTTAGATGGTAGAGAAGATGTGTGATTTTTAGGAACATTTGGGATCAGTGAGTCACAATGGAAGCGACTGGCTGCAGGGTGTTGAGAGAAAAGCTCCATGGGATGTGGCTGGGTGGGATGAGGATGGCTTTTATAAGGTCCTGCTGTGTCAGCATACACTGCCATCTCTGAGAGCAGTAATTCTGTCCATCAATCAGTGGGACACCAGACTATAAAGTATGCATAATTTATCATAATAATATCAGTATATACAGACCAGGGACGAATTAAAGGAAAACCTGGTTTGGGTCCGCTTGTCCCCTTAGAGGGATGGGTCACTGCAAATCAGTACAACATTATTCTGAGTGATCACCTTTAACCTGTGATGAAACATTTCTATCCTAATGGGAGTGGTCTCTTCCAGGACCACAGTGCTCCCATCTATAGGGTACAGTGGTCAGTGAATGGTTTGATGAGTATGAAAATTATGTGAATCATATGCTGGAGCCTTCACAGTCACCAGATCCCAGTTGAACACCTGTGGGAGATTTTGGTACAATGTAAATGAGGCTGGGTTGAGCCACTGAAGCAGCATTAGTATGCAAGGTCAGTTTAAAGTTGAGGTGAGTTAGGGCTAGAGAATGGTGTGTAATGGGGACCAGCAGATTTATGACACAGCCTGGTACCCAGTGCGGGGACAAATGATGGGTCATACCCTCATCTAACATTAATACTGAGCTTCCATAGGAATGCACGCCTAGCTTTTGTCACAGTTAACTGTGTAATGAAAAATGACATGCGAGAAATTGCAGGCCTGTAAATTTCTCCCTGTGTAGTGAATTGCTACACGCATGTACATCAACTTCCTCTTTTGGCGACAGCTACCAGCTGTTCTCACTGACGCCATGTGCAACACTTTTGTTAAGCAGACCTGCCGTGTCTGGGTCAGATGCTAAGGAAGGCTGACCTTAACTTTGCATTCCTGAATTTAATCGCTAATCTATGAAACTTTTTAATGAACTTTGCGTATATACTATGTCCACTTTAAGTTACACATCAACTTTAAGAACACATTTGGTCTGGTCAGTTTCTGTTGGTAACATGTGAGTAATCAAACAATCTTAATTTTTTTTAAAGAGCCATAAAAAGACGTCCTATTGCTCAGATGTCCGTTCTATTTTTCAGTTTAAATTAGCCTTTTTACAACAGAGTAGGGTTAATATTACACATATTTGGTAGAATAAGGAAGATGATGCTACTAGTTAAAAAATAACAATCTCATATTTTCTCTCTTACTGCATTGATACTGACTTGATGTAAAACATATTGCAATTAAAATATGCGACTGCTCTAGTTTTGGTCAAAGTAATATTTAACAAGATTATTTTTATGTGATTTGCCTGAGCTGATGAAAGATCAGGACTTAATATTACTTTTCAGTAGTTCTTCACAAAAATATACAAACTACGTATTGTGTTAAAAAAAAACGTAATAATTGCTCACTGTTTAAACATATGTGAAGTGATGGATGAATGAAAATATCACAGCCACCTTCACTTTCCTCAATATTTACAACCCCAGTACCATAAAATTTTCCATTGTAGTTCTGCAGTAAATAAATATTCCTAATCATTTAGCCAGTCTATTAAAATGTGAAATTTTGCCAAAGTATTCCACTGGCTATTCTGACCTGGCCTCAGGGAAGACGTTTTGGAAAGAAATGCCAAAGTCTGGAGAAAAAACACAATATTGCAGAGCTTATCTCATCACAGCAGTCTCAGGAACCAAGTATGGAAACTTGGATCAAGGAATGTGTCCTGTGTGTGTTTACATTTCTTTCATTGTTTCTGTGTCACCAAACAGCCAAAGCATTCATTACCTCAGCAACTACTGCTCCGTCTCTCCCAGCTGATGGTGTGGAATGGACGATTACCAAGAAAAAGGAGGAAGCAGTTATTAAAGACGGAGGCAGCAGAACAATCAGTGGCTGGAGACCCCACCCTCAGTCAGGAACATGATCTTCTTCCCAGGTTTTGCTCTGCTGTATGCAGCCTGTTACACACACAGCCAACTTCCCACCACTTCTCCATGTCCTCTCTATACTTGAGTGTACTCAGGGGTTGTCAACAAACATGTTGTGGAAGATTATGCTGGTTGCCAGAGGCAAAGCCCTTTTCCACAACATAATAAAGAACATTCATCATACTGTTATTCTGGGGGAATCCTTGTCAGATGTACTGAAGCAGGCCCAAAACACACGGCTTCAGGGTGCCTTTGATGGATGCGTTCTATGCTGTGTAGACTCACATTTCCACACTACATCCCACAATAAACCTACTTTAATAAAAACATTGCCTGAGGGAAAACATTGCAATGCTGAATTGCTCCAATGTAGATTTTGAAAATCAACGTTGCAGATACATGACAAATATTTTGTTAACAGATTGCAATTTCCGACCTGTCCAGGGTGTACCCCGCCTCTCACCCAGTGTCAGCTTGGATTGGCTCCTGCCCCCCCATGACCCTTGATAGATAAGTGGTATAAATAATGGATGGATGGATGGACAGATGGATGGATAACTTTTTAATCCTGAGCATGCCAACGTCATTGGTCAAGAGAACGTTTCTGCTACCATCTAGTGGTGGTATGTCAGTACTGCTGCAAAAATCACTAATGTTTGAGGGGTAGGGTAGGGTACAACTTTATTGATCCCACAGTGGGGAAATTCCAGTGTTCCAGCAGCAGTAAGGGACAAAAACAACAGAGAGCAAACAACAAGACACCATCGATCTTGATACACAAATTCAGAAAGCACAGAAAGAAAAAAACACAAAAGAGGACAGAGCTACTGGAACTCACTGCCGCTCCGTGCAGCGCGTCTTGAAAAACAAATCAAAAATACTTATACTGAGGGCCAGCTTAATAATAAAAAATCTGATAAAGAAATTGAAATAATACCAATATCATATTACAATAATTAGACATGTGATTAGTTTTGCTAAGGTTGTTTTCCACCACCTCCTCAGGACTATTCCTGAAAAGCCTCTATCGAAATAATGACTTTTTAAAAAATATGTTAAGCAGATCACCAAAGGCCTCCATGAGCAGCATCAGATGTCATCTCTTCAGTACAACTGCCTTGATGTGTTATGCTTCTCTGCTGTTTGAAATAGTATTGTCCTCTTTTTCTTTTCTTATTTCTTTTGTGCCTTTAAACAAGCTGTCTCCCTCTAGCGTGGGCCTGTTCCTCTCCTGCCTTCACATGTTCTGTAGGCACATATGTAAAAAATACCTGCAACAGACAGAGGTGAAGTATTTGGTGATGAACATTATGAAACTTACAAGAAAATTACATTCAAGTGGTCTATTTACAATATTTAACAATCTAGGTGTAAAGATGGCTGTATTTGTTGGGCTGATTTTGACATCAGAGGTGTTTTAGATTCAGTTTTTGAGTGTTTCTAAATTCATTTTTACTTGATTATATTATATATCTTCACAGGGTTTGTATTGTCTAGCATGTTTCATGGTAAATTCTGTAGTTATTTTCTGTGACTGCTGCAATGTTTGCATGAGAATGGGGTTTATATCTCACCTGCAAAGAAGGTCATGACCATGGCAACCCAGCCCAGTATGTAAGACCAGGAGAAGCGCCAGTCACCAAAGCGCTTTCGCAGGAAGTTGACTGTCACTCCAGTATAAACAGTCATACCCAGCAGAACAAAGAAACCTGAGCAGGATGGTGGAAGATACTTGTCAGTTGTACATAATATTTGTCTACAGTAGGTGTATCTGTGTGCCAAGTCAGAAAAAACAAAACTCACTGGAGACAAAAAATATAATTCCTGCAACAAAGGAGCAGTTGAATCTTTCAAAGGAGGAGAAGTGCGAAAAGGACATGATGCCAGCGATGATGCCTGAAAAGCACAACATTCCTGAGAGGATCATGAAGGCCCTGGTGGCGTTCCAGTAAGCTGGAAGGAAACAGGCACAACTCATCACTTATGTCATTGATGAAAAAAAATGTAATAATACAGTTATTTTTGATTAATACTGACATAATTTGTCAAGACCACTTTTACTGTCAGCCCAAATTGCTGGAAGTAATTAAATGATTTTTGCCCTTCAAAGTGTCAATGTATTGATTCATGTACAGAATATTTTATCTGTACAGATATGATATCAGTTTTAAGTTGAGGGACATAAACCAGCACACCATTAAACAACCAAATTATGTGTCTGTCCCTTTTATAATTAAAAAAAAATATTCATGGCATACACAAGCCAGCTGTTGAATCTGAATAAATGAACTACAAAACGAGGCAGTACATAACTCCAAATTGCAGCTCTTGATAAGGCATGGTGTGTCTCTTGAAAAAAAGCTAAGACAGCTGAGACAGCTACATATGTCTCAGCCTTGGCCGTTGCACAGGATTTTTAAAACACTCTGAGCGCCTTACCTATGCTCTCAGTCTGCATGAAGCACTTGTTGGACATGCAATATCTCCACAGACCCTGGTGAGCATAGTTTCCAGAGAGATGATATTGCATCCAGTAGTCAGTTGCAGTGGAAACCACCAAGAGGATGTTACCTGTGATAGCACAGAACAGGCCCCCTCCCATGAAGCTGTACATCTTGAGCAGAGATAACTGAAAAACAAACATATTGTAAATAGTGATTTTGTTAAATCTAGTTTTGCTATTGTATGTGCATATTAAAAACAGACAGCAGAGACTGCAGAGGTTGAATATATAACAGCTGATACAAGCACATTGTATAAGTATGAATTCAAATATGTTCCTGCTGTGGCACTATGCATACACAGTGACAGGACATTAGGAATCTTTAAAAAAAAGTCATAATTCTCAGACATATTCTGCCAAAATTTCACTAGGATTTGGAAAAATGAGGTTTTAGTATTGAAATCTAATCAGCAAATGAAACACTTGACATCTTTTTGGAGTTTTGTTTGAATTCAAAAAGTTGAACCACAATAAAGAAACCCACAGAAATATGAAATTAACATAAAATATAAACTTGTAACAAACATATATACAGCTGCTTAAACCCATCGATTTATACATAACATTCTCTAATTTAAAAATGAAGAGGAGTGAATTTCTACAACTTTTTTTTTATCAAGCATATTTATTTCTTTTTTAGTGGAAATACTAATTGAACAAGTGTAAAGCAAAACCACTATTCTTCACAATGATGCAGTTTGTTGTATTTCTCCTTCCAAATCTACATATCAACCCACTAATATTCTGCCAGCCTCTATCCATTCACTGTCATCGTAAATGTTCTAAAACTTTATCCTTTACCTTCTTTCTGGAAAACACACCCGTACTAACCACCTACCAGAGGTACAGATACAGATGGGCTGAGGGGGAAAGAGAGCGCCTCATAGATAATACAACCAAAAAAATGATACTTTTGTTTTTCTGTCGAAGAAAGCGAAATCCTTTGCAGCCATCAGTCTCACTTGATTGCAACACTGCAGGGGCCACAGTGCATGTGACCCTTTATATTTGAGTATGTGTGTGACTATGTGGGGTTTATGGGGCCTAAGAGAAGGCGTGGTGGTCCGTGTTTCTTTTTGGGGGGTTTGTTTGTTGTAAATGGTGTGCGGTAGAAGGGAGGATTAGCATGGGTATGCTGAACTGTCTGTGTCAATGCAACATGCTAACATAGACACTTTTCTTTCAATGCTGTCGCACTGTGGTGGCATGGAGGGCCACAGCAGGAGCACTCTGTTCAGGTACTATCTATCTCTCTTTACTATAGAACTGTCTAAACTAAAAATCCAGTTCAGTTTATATCTTTATATCTTGTGCTTTATCTTACGGAAATATTTCAAAATTGAAATTTAAGAAACTAATGTGACTCACAAAAACGTTCAAACTATACATGTACACATCTGCTTGCTTATTCTTAACCTAACACATAAGCACTCTTTCAAAAAGACTAACAAAATTTTAATTTTCAAATAATGTATTAAATAGTCAAAAGATTGACATACAAAACATGACAGTATGTATATTTAGTGTCCAAGCATTCAAGGCAATTACAACAGTTTAAATTTACATATACCTTTGTAATAACAAGGTCTGGGAATGAGATTAATGTGAAATGTTGGATATTCTCTTTGGTTAAAAAAAAACAAACAAAAAAGTAAAGAAAAAATGTAAGAGAGGACAATGTCAGGCTAAGCATGTCCATAAACAACTGTTGTTGGAACCCCAGGCCCACATCAGGGGCAACAGAGGAGTTGAGATGCCACTGGATGATTCCTGAATAGGTCAGCATAGGTCAGACAGCATGGAATGACAGGCTCATTTCCATGCTGTCACAGTGTTATAACCCTAAAGTGTCTAATATTAGACCAGTTTTTGGCTCCCTCATGAGTCTGGCCAATTGCAGATTTGATCCCATGGTTGCCTTTCTCTGTTATTAGAACTGATCATGTGATAAAAAACTAGTGATTAAAGTCAGTTCATAAATAATGTTTAATTAACCTTAGTTTAGAGATACTTTTTAAAGCATGTAGAATTTGTGATAAGTCCTGATATTTATTTCAGTTTTACACAATAAAACAAAGGCAATTTCACTTTAGGGTTGCAACTAATGAATGTTTTTATTATTATTACTTCTTTGATATATCAGCTGTAAGACCTAACCGTAGTGCATGGTGAAGTTTTCAATTTAGAGAAGGAAAATGCAGCAAATCCTCACATATGAGAAACTAAAAGCAAAACATTTAGTCATTTTCATTTAAATAACTTAAAGAGCCTATAGGCTCAACTAACTAACTGCTTGATGGAACACTTCCTTGCTGATGACGATAGGATAATTTTTTGACTAATGGATTAAATGTTTCTGCACTTATTCACGTTTTCCATACAGTTTGCCTGTTTAGGTTTGATGTTGGATGACCAAACTATTTTGCTGACACAATTCTCCTAGGTCAAATCATTTACTAGTAACTTCCACATTTAGTGACATGATCTAACTGGAAACCTTTCATCAAATTTAACATAAACATGTATCAGTAGTAGAAATATCAGGGTAGAAATTTAATTTGTACTTGAAGTGTCAAGGCAGACGTGGGAACTCCCGAGATTCGTTCTGGAAAAATGTTTGACCTTTTATGACCCGGAAGCTGACGCCAAACCCGAGCTGTTCCATCGGCGGAGTAAAGATGGCTGACCAAGGCGTCGCAGATCCTGGTAATAACAACAATAATAAGCCTGAAACCTCGGAGGGAACTATTATTAAGGTCACAGTAAAAACCCCTAAAGACAAAGAAGAAATCGCCATCGCAGAAGATGCCTCTGTCACCCAGGTTTGTTGACAACTTCAGCTAGCTAACAAGTTAGCTGTGTTAGCATTTGTCGTTACCCTTACCGGCTAACTGAAAGTGTGTGAAATTAGAGCGGCTGTGTGTAATGAAAGTATCACTACATGGATTTGAAACAGTTTGGCGATATTAACGTTTCTGAGATCCAACAGAAAGATATAATCACGCTAACATTTAAAGTGGCTAACCGGCTAGCCAGCTAACGATAACGGTTAGCTTAGCTAGCTAGTTAGCGAGCTCAGCCAACGTTGTTAGCTATGTACTGTAGCCAAACAAGCGTCAGCTGACGAGTAGCGGGCTTGCTATGCCAGAGTTAAGTTGGCCTGAAGTGGTTTGTATGGATGATTTGGCGAATCGCTTTCGTTTTCCGTTTCAGCTTTAAGCATTATTAAAGCTTTCACTCTAGAACATTCTCCCCGCTCCCACTGAGCCATTCAGCTTTCAGGGGAATTTATAGTTGGCTGCGGTCCTCTGGGGGCTACTGTCGGTTTGGCGACGTGTTATTGAAACATAAAACAAATAATAGTTTTCGCTATACTTATGTTTTATCATTACTGTGGGATATCAAATAGTCATTTTTGTATAGTTGCATGTATTACGTAGTTCAGTGTTTAAACGTGTGTCATGTTCGAACGTTGAACTTGTATATATGATTTAAATGTAACAGTGTTTATGTCACCCTTATCTTTGTGTGTTAATATCTGATATAGTTTCCATAATGACATGCTTTGAAACACATTTTATATACAGCTTAGTGTTAGAAATGAAGCCTGGGAATTATTTCAGTAGCACCATCTTGTGGTCTTTGCTCTTTGTGTTGCTCCCTATTAGTTTCCACAAAGAAGTAGTTCTAGTGGTGCACCCAAAATAAATATTAAAATTGAACAGCTTTTTAAAACATACTGAGAAAATGGAACACAAAAGGCAGAGAACAGTTCATCGTATAGTTTTGTGGACATAGTGCAACCAGATGACCTGTGCATGTAAACAGCACTAATGTTATTTGTCTCATTAAGTTGTGCTTTGCAGGGATCATTTCCATTGTCCTGTCTCACATGTTTTATTTATTTACATTGAAAATTAGAGACAGAACCATGCTACAGTTTCCTGCAAGATGGGACACTGTCTTTGTGAGTGATGTGTCACACAACAGTCAGAAAGAGTGATTTAGTGTGTTGGGACCACTGCTAATAGGATGAGTACAGAGGACTTTCTTGGAAATGAGATATTTAGGGCTAGAAAGAGTGCAGCACTACTGAAGTGTAACCACCTCGTTCTCAATAATATTCATTTCACTTTCTCATTGCCCTTCCCTCTGTGTTTTCCCAAATTTTTGCCTCACTGTTCATTTTCATTGTTTCTTCCTGTGTTGTAGTTCAAAGAAGAAATCTCTAGGCGGTTCAAAGCCAAACAGGACCAGTTGGTTTTGATTTTTGCAGGGAAGATCTTGAAGGATGGAGACAGTCTCAGTCAACACGGCATCAAGGATGGCTTGACAGTTCACCTAGTGATAAAGACAGCACACAAGTAAGGCTATATTATTAATACAAAGCATGCTAATTCAACAAAAGAAGCACGCCTATATTTATTCATAATTAAATAATCGTAGGATGGAGTTAAGTGAGCTGCATTTTTTTGTTGTATTTATTCACTGAGTGTCTAGGCACAGTGTCATCACATTAGTAATGAATTTCTACTAATTATCCCTGTAGGGCAGGAGATGGCAGTAGCACCTCTGCATCTAGCTCAACCTCCACCCAAGCAGGCAGTGCCTCCGGCTCTAGTTCTGGTACCAACCCGTCCTCCACAGCAGGCTCTACTGGCTCTGCCCCACCATCCACACAGACACCTAACATACTGAGTGAGTCCATCTCTGTGTAACTATTTGCATTCAAATACCACTTGTTAGTTCGGCACCACAAACATAACATGTTCAACCTTCACCCACCCTTCACTCTTAGCTGGCTTCGGTGACCTGGCTAGTCTGGCTGGACTGGGCATGGGCTCGGCTAACTTCATGGAACTGCAGCAGCAGATGCAGAGGCAGCTCATGTCCAACCCAGAGATGCTTTCCCAGATCATGGAGAACCCGCTTGTGCAGAACATGATGTCCAACCCAGACCTGATGAGACAGATGATCATGGCCAACCCACAGATGCAGCAGCTGATGGAACGCAACCCTGAGATCTCCCACATGCTCAACAACCCTGAGCTCATGAGACAGGTAAATGAAATGAGGCAGCATTGATTTATATAGCATGGCTACAGTTGAGTCCCACTGCATTTGAGTCTCCTTAGTTGGGATTTATTTAGCTTTGTTTTAAAATGAGCTTCTTCCCCTTATTTATCTCACCTCCCAGACCATGGAGCTGGCCAGGAACCCAGCCATGATGCAGGAAATGATGCGAAACCAAGACCGGGCTCTGAGCAACTTGGAGAGCATCCCAGGAGGTTACAATGCCTTGCGGAGGATGTACACAGACATCCAGGAGCCCATGTTTAGTGCTGCCAGGGAACAGGTAGCTGGGACTAATGTTTACTGATTAAATCACTGTTTGTGTTTGTCCTTGTTTGAACTTGTTTTTGCCTATTCTGTAACCCTCCTCTGGTTTTAAATGCCAGTGTTAAGTGGTTAAGTATATTTTGACATTGTTTCTTGTTTTTAAATGTGTCTGATCTCTGTCCCTCTAGTTTGGTAGCAACCCGTTCTCAGCTCTAGGTGGCAGCTCAGAGTCTGGTGCCCAGCCATCACGGACAGAGAACCGGGAGCCCCTGCCTAACCCATGGGGACCGCCAAATTCTTCTAACCCTTCTGAGAGTGGAGGGAGCACCACAGGAAGCACTAGCACCACTGGGGGTAGCAACCCCAGTGTATCCAATCCTCTAGGTATCAATCCTGGCAGTCTGGGCAATGGTGAGTAATGTTTCTCAATAGAGAGTACCTATTTAGTTGCTGAACTTACTTGTCTTCATATACATACATTAACCTGGGACTTTTCTGCATTGCAGGCATGTTCAGTAGCCCGGGCATGCAGAGTCTACTGCAGCAGATCTCTGAAAACCCTCAGCTGATGCAGAACATGCTGTCTGCTCCATACATGCGCAGTATGATGTCGTCACTGGCTCAGAACCCAGAGTTGGCCTCCCAGGTAAGGACAAATGTACATACACACCAGAAGACAGAAAATGCACAGATATAGTTATATTACAAACCCTGAAATTCTAGATCAAAATTGTGTCCTAGAGATCCTTGTTATTCAGATTGTGTGCCACACATGGAATTAATTCATTATATTGAGCTCTTTAGTTTGCAATGAATTGTAAATAGCAGGATCTAGTTGGGCCTGTTGTGCATTAGGCCAATAAGCCCTGTTATTTAGTGCACACTCAGAGAACAAAGGGGATTGTCTGTTAAGCTCACTTCCATTTGCAGCAAATTGTAAGAAAGTAAATAACACAGCTCTGACTTAATTTGCTTTTAATAAACGGTGCTCACTGTACAGCAAACCAGAACAACTCTATAGTGTTTACAGCACAAGCAGTTAGATGAAAGGTATGGATTTTGTAGAGCTTTTATTTTTGTTATTTAACATTTGTTTGAACGCTTTGTTTAAGGTGCTTAATCATATATCATTTAAATATCTCTAGTGAATGGAACAGCCTGGTGTGGAATGACTGGTTACTGTCACCGTCTTTCTCTTTCTCTACTAGGTTTTGATGAATAACCCCTTGTTTGCTGGAAACCCACAGCTGCAGGAACAGTTCAGAGCTCAGCTGCCCATATTTCTGCAGCAGGTACTGTGCATATTTCAGACCAATGTGTTCTTTGCAAAAAAACATAAAGTTAAGATGTCATGGTGACATAATAAAGAATGGTAGTGGTTGGCCCATAGGGGCAATATACTGTACTGTAACATGCCTTAGTCCAGCTGAAACATATTTTTATCTGTTCATGCTTAACATTTTTTTTCTTGAGGATTATAGATGTACATAGATTTTTTTTTTTTCCTGTGGGAATCTTTTTATATGCTCACAAACCTCACTTTAGAATAATTATGCTTTTTACTTATTAGCTTATTTTGTGTGTGTGTTTTTTGTCTTTAATTCATTCTTACCATTTATGTTTGGATGTAGATGCAGAACCCAGAATCCATGTCAGTGATGACCAACCCCCGGGCCATGCAAGCTCTAATGCAGATCCAGCAGGGCCTCCAGACACTGCAGACAGAAGCACCAGGCCTCATGCCAAGGTATGCTCCCACAGGTAGATACACATGCTGTTTTTTTCTTTGTTTTGTTTTTTTTAAGTAGATAATGGTTTTCAACTCTTTTGTTTCTTTTGGCCTAGTTTGATGACAGGTGGAATTCCTGGCATACCCACAGGAGGGGGCATGCCTGTAGAGAACCCAGCCCCCTCGCCCAGCAGTGCAGCAACAAACACTGCCCAGCAGCAGCTGATGCAACAGATGCTCCAGATGTTTGCTGGAGGAGGTGCAGGAGGAAGTGCAACGGTACAGAGATACACACTTGCACCAGATTTTCATCCTTCACATCTGTATGCTGTGGTTTTTACAGCTCAATTAATCCCCCAACCCCACTCCCCTTAGACCCAGACCCCAGAAGTTCGGTTCCAATCCCAGCTGGACCAGCTGAATGCCATGGGTTTCATCAACCGCGAGGCAAATCTGCAGGCCCTCATCGCTACTGGAGGAGACATCAATGCCGCTATTGAGAGACTGCTGGGCTCACAGCCCTCCTAAAGACATACAGTACATAGTGACAACGCAGACATGTGTGTACATACCTAACTCATACACACACACCCAGCATCTACAGAGAGAATCAGAGAAAAGAAATGTAAGTATATTGTCCCAGATTTTACAGGAGAAACTTGGGCAGGATCTGTAAGGCCCATATTTTGCATTTGTTCTCAGATCATTCCCTACTCCCTGTACTTTAACTTTTTGACGTCATCCACCCAGACCTCTTCCAGAGTACTGCTGTAGAGCCGGACTGAAGCACTCTCACTTTGAGGGGTGCTCTGGCACATAGAACAGGAGCGAAAATCTCTCCTGGAAAGGGATTACCAACCGTTCCTTCATTCTTTTTTCTTCTTCACATAAAACTGGAGTTGAATGATGCAGACAGACATTGACATAATACAGATTAAACCCATATTATGTGACTGGCTTTTGGTTCTGTTTCATATGTGGTCATTGTGGGGCAGTTTGTTAGCATTTAATTAGCAAATCAATACATACAGATAGAACAGATATCCTGTCCACACAGGCATTCAGCCTCATTCCTTCCTCTTACCATTCTCTTGATTCTACATAAATATGTTTTTGGCCAACAACTTTCATTATTTATTGCAAGTGCTTAAGAACCCGACACCCTCCACACTTCTTTAAACTTGTGATTTATTATATAAACGTGCCCACTCACAGGTGCATAGTGTCTTTTTCTTCTGAGGCACCATTGCTGTGCCTTCTGGCCTCTCCTGCCCTCTAAGAGCATTGTCAGCCAATTACACCGTCACTCACTGGGTTCATTAGAAACCCCCAGTAACTTCAACATAACATCACCCAGAACTGTAGCCATAATCAAACATTACATAGCAGCATCTCAGAAGCAGAAGGGATGCTGTTAGAATTGATGTGAATGAAACAAACACACTCTCCTTGCATTTTAATCGGACTATTCATTTTCTTTTCTTTTTTTTTGCCTTTGAGGTGCAGTTAGTTCTTATGATTTGTCTCATAAACATGGAAATCAAGTGAGTAAAAAAGTGCTTTCCATCAATGAAGGTATGGTGGCACCATACATTTATAAAATCAAGTTCTAGGTTGTCTTTTTTTTTTTTTTCCTTTTTAAATTTTCAGCATTGTAGTTGTGGTAACCTTGGCAAGTGCTTCTATAGCGTTGCTTTGTCTGTTGACCTCAGCTGAAAATGAAAAACAAAATCCATCTCCCAATTGAACATGTTGGAACTAACTTTTAACAGTACTGTACTAAAAAAAAATAATAAAACATGGTCAAAAATGGTCTGTGCTATGTGTCGGTTGATTATAGTCTTGTGATGGTGTGTAGATGAGATCCATACCTTCCCATTATATTTTCTAGCATTTATGTTCCTGTAAACCACAGGATCAGGCTCTGCTTTTTATAAGGATAATGTAAAATGTTGCATTTTGAAAAGCAGTGTGTAATTCTGCTTTTGGATGTTCTGGGAGAATAAATGGCCATACTCACTGGAACATATTGATCAGTATTTTCAGAAAAAGGGACTAATATGTAATGGAAATTTGCTTTAACTATAGGAAATATTTCAGAAAATGGACAGATATAAAATTTAATAATGACATTTTTTTAAAATCTTTGGTTTAAATTGACCAGTTCCATTAAGGAAATTACTCTGCCAACTCCTTACAACCAAGTAAACCCTGACTCTGAATATAATTTCTGTCTTCCTTTGAGCTGATACTAAATAGTCTTTCCAGGAAATGTCCTAAAAGCTAAGTAATTATGAACATGTACAATAAGGCAGTGATGTATAAGACAAGCCTGTATTATGGCTCCTATCATTATGAAATAAATGTTTCATATAGTGTTAAGATTTCTGTCAGGGACCAAACAGTAAAGCAGAGGATACAACTTTTAAAATTCAAAGAAATTGGCTCTTTATTAACCCAAAAAATACGAAAGAAAAATACAAATGACATTAAGACCAACTGATGTCTCAACAGAAATTACAAACAAATAACGCCTCCTTAAACTCCCCCCTTTCTTGTATCCAGCACATGGTGTAGTCCAGGCCTAGAGGGAGGTATTTAAACCTGCTGCTTCCTCAGTCCAGTCTTTTGTCAGAACTGCCCCCCATCCATGGACCAGGAAACACGGTAACTCAAGTGAAAATGAATCAAATGTGCATGCTCATTGATCAGTTATGTATGCCCAATATCAAACAATACTTATAACTGAAAACTACACAACCTAAATAAAGAAAACAAAAGACTACCCAACCAATTCTACCACTGGTGGTGGTTTAGGCTCTCACATGGTGAAGGTCAGGGCTGAGACCTTCACACAGCCTTTGCTTTTTCCAGTGGTGGAAGAAGTACTCGGGTTGTTCACTTAAGTAAAAGTAGCAATACCACAGTGTAAAAATAGTCCTGCATTCAAATGGATACTTATGTAAAAGTACAAAGGTATTATCATAAAATATACTTAAAGTACAAAAGTACTCTATGCAGAATGGAACCATTCACATTAATGTATATCATATAATTGGACTATAGGTATCAGTATATTAGTGTATAATCACTAATGTTATGGCTAGTAAAGGTAGATCTAATGTTAATGACTTTATTTGTTTACTTTTTGAATTAGTTTGCATACAGCTGGCTAGCTTGTGAATTTCCCAACAGGGATCAGTAAAGTCTTATGATTGTATATTTTGTTTATTTAATCTCTGTCTCAAAAGTAACTGAAATTACCAAATGTAATGAGTAAAAAGTACAATATTCTTCTGTAAAATGTAGTGATGTCAAAGTATGAAATAGCAGAAAATGAAAAAATTACAGATATCTCAAAATTGTACTTAAGTACAATACTTGAATAAATGTACTTAGTTACCTTCCACCTCTGGCTCTTTCAATATAACCGTGTAGTGGATGTAGCTGCATTTATGTTTTTGGACTGTGCCAAAAGCACTGAAATTAATAACAAAAATGTAAGATGATAGTTGGTACATCAGTGCAAATCACAGTGTCTCCCTGCTTGTGTCAGACAAGTAGCCAAACGTGAACAGGCTTGGACAGCATATTGATCCACCTGTTAGGTGAGGTTTATTGCAAATGAACAGCGTCACAGAGGGTGCAGTCTGTTGCTGATGACTACCTGCGAGCGGTTCTACCTGTTTCACCTGCTCTTCCCCACCCCCCCACCCCTTCCTTGGGTGTCAGCTGCAGAGGGATCGGCAGGCCACAGGGCTCCTGCCTCTCTGCCCCTGTGCCCTCAATCAGGAGCTACCACTATCCACAGATAGATAAGGAAGTGTTTAGGTGCAGCGCAACCTGTTCTCTTCTTGTTCTCCATTTTCATCTTTCTCCCTCCACACTGGAGAGAAAGAGCTACGAAGCGGTGTCTTTCTTTTTTACTATTTACTTTGGGAGCTAATATTCAAAGTGGCTTCAAGAGATTTTCTGAGTGAAACAGGAACCCTTTGCCACTGAAAGCAGCATGGGGTCTGACGAGTCATACAATTTTGTCTTTAAAGGTGAGTTATGTTTACTGAAGCTGTGATTGTGTAGAAAGAGGTAAAGCTTTCAGTGTGTACTACTATATTTGTGCAGGCTTTAAATGCGTCAGGTGCAGCTCTGGTTGTAACTGCCTGGTCCGGTTTCTGTGTAAGAGAGGGAAAAGAGGACGTGCTAGTTTTCTAGTTACAGTATTTGGTTGTAAACTGACCTTTGACCCATTAAAGAAACATTACATTTCCTAGGTCATTAGAGACTGTTATGTTTTGTATGCTTATTTCTCTGATTAAAATAAGCTCCTCTTAACTTCCATTCCATTCATTCCAAAGTAAAGTCAATCACAGAGTAGGTCTGCCACGTTTACTATATGTGATGTCACAGTGTGTAGTGGTTTGTGAATGTGACAGAAAGTCTTCACGTGACACATCAGATGAACCAGAGTGTGGTAGTCTTGACCAATAAATACATATTTTTGGATTTAACATCATCTTAACACCTCTAAATTTTTTAACAATGAATGATTTTCTATTTTTTGTGTCTGTTCAGTGGTTTTGATAGGGGAGTCTGGTGTAGGAAAAAGCAACCTTCTGTCTCGTTTCACCAAGAATGAGTTCAATCATGAAAGCCGTACCACCATCGGTGTCGAGTTCAGCACCCGGACGGTCCAGCTGGATAACTTCGCCATAAAAGCTCAAATATGGGACACAGCAGGACTGGAACGTTACAGGGCTATCACCTCAGCGTGCGTACACACACACACACACACACACACACACATACAGACTTATCCCACCATTTTTGTTGTGTGCCAGTAACAGTGATTTCAATGAATGTTACCTGTCTCACCCTCATCACACATTTTACTATAACAGCATCTTCCAGTTTGAATACAAGACCTAATTTATTTGTGTTTGGTGTCTCTCACCTGGTGGACTCAGGTATTACAGGGGAGCAGTTGGAGCACTGTTGGTCTATGACGTTAGCAGGCACCTTACATATGAGAGCACAGAGCGATGGCTGAAAGAGCTGTACGACCATGCGGACCCTCACATCGTGGTCATGCTGGTGGGAAACAAAAGAGACCTGGAGAGCCTCAGGACGGTGCCCACAGAAGAGGCCAAGGACTTTGCAGGTCACTGAAGCAGTATTGCCTTTGTTTCTTAATGTTCAGTGATGATATTTATACTTTTGGAGCAATACATTATTACACAACTGAGCTTTTCTTTCTTATCTGTAACCTTCTGTAGTTGACCTCTGTGATCATGAAAACTATATAAATGCTCAGTACCCTTCATTTTGTTGATTGTGGTCTTTGCCTTGCTTGCTCAGAGAAGAAAGGTATCAAGTTTATGGAGACATCAGCGTTGGACTCCACCAATGTGGAAGAGGCTTTCACTGAAGTCCTCACAGGTTGGAGTTATTTTTTAAAACACAAATCCTCAGTTTTCTTTGAAATACCTACTGATTTTTCTCCTGTTTACTTCCAGCAATCCATAAGAAGGTGGCCAGCAGGGAAGTGACCCGTGGCTCCATCAGCGCTGTGACCCTGTCCCCCACCATTGGACCAATTAGCGAGGCGCACCAGGAGCGCAAAGGCTGTTGCAAGAACTCCTAATAGACTACTGCCACCTTTAAGATCTGCTCTCCTCATGTTGAACCAACATCATGCTTGAGCTCAAGCATGACATCATGCACACAGTTTAAAGAGCGAGGTACCTGCTTGACACTTACAGTCAATGTACAAACCTCCTTAAATATAAAGCGTGTACAATATATAACTAAAAAAAAACAAAATAGATTATCAGAAAAAAATCTTATGGTGGCTACTGGGCATTTTATTACAGACAGCTGTACACTGTGTTTTCTTTTATCTTTGTATTGTTAAAGAGGAGCTGTGTTGCTTTTATGAAGGAATGCACTGGGATTAACTTTGAATAGATAATTTGTTATTTTCTGCATGCAATTACCACATAAAAACAAATTCGTTATCCGCATTAGACAGCTAAACTAAACTAGATAGGGGAATAAGAGAGAGGAGAGAGGGCCGATGTGAAAGAAAGAGAATGTGTTCCTCAGCGACGGACAATATGCAGCTGTGGTTCTCAACCTGCAGGTTGCAAGAATGAATTTAAGAGTTCATGAGATGATGAAAAAGTACAGTTCTGCTACATGACTTAAATAGTTTTTATCCTGAGAAATACTGTATGTGTAAACTTTTCAGGCCTTCAGCAGTTATTCAAAACAGAAAATCTTCAAGAACTCATAGGCATGCACCCTATCTCCTCTCATTAAAGCCCTCCTCCAGTCCTAAACCTATTTTTCTTATTGTTGGATGTTTGCCCTTTACTGCTCAGAATTATATACAGTTTGTGTGGTTTTTGACATTGCTGGGCTGTTTTCTCATTCATCTGGAGATGGGGAAGGTGTGTGTGAGAGGAGTATTCAAAGGATTTTTCTGCATCTTAAAATAGTTGAGGTAAGGGTTCACACTTAAAACATCTTGGAGCCACCTACCATGGGTTGAAGGTGTTGTGTGTCCTGGCGGCCTGTAGATGGCAGTGCTGATGTTGAAAGCTTCAGAGCTCTAATGCAGTGTATTTGTTCCCTCTCTCACATCCTTTACTCCAGTATATCGTATAGTACTAATTCTTTCCTTATTGTTCACTCCCATAATGATCATGATATTAAGCTCGTGTAGCGCTGCAAGGTTGTTGCCATGGTAACAACCTCTGATGCCCTCTTGAAGCTAATCAGCATCACTATGAAGTAGGGAATTAATTTACATTTTTTCCACAAATAGTAAATTCATTCACACACTTTGTGGTGTTATGTCTCTATGTGTGTGTGTGTGTACTGTGTGCTTATGCAGATAATCTCCAGACTATGGACAGAACTGGACAGGCTCACAAGACATGAGTGTAAATCTACAGCAGTGGTGGTTAATGACATTCTGGACAGATAGTGCTCTATCTCTGGCGCACAGATGCCTATAAGGAAGGAGCTTTTGCCCCTGTAGTGCGAGTGTGCACATGTGTGTGTGTGCACACAGTGTCCCCAAGCAAGATTTCTCTGCTGAAGATGATTTTGCTACAGTGAAATGACTGCAAATGCTTTTATAAAGTTTCTCTTATGAAAATATGGCAGGAAAGGCTCTACACTGGGCAGTAAATGTTCAATTATTTCCTGTGAATGAGGATCTTTTTATGAGCTGAGTAAAAGCATCTGGTGTAATAATCTGTGGAGGCAGGTTGAAAGCTTGATCGTGAAATCTGTAAATCTCCATCTGTCCTGAGCCTAGAGGTGATTTTATCTTTGCAAAAATCATTAAATTAAAAAATTACAAACTCTCTGTTCTGTGTATCAGAGAGGATTAAACAACAAAGCAAAGTTTTTCTTCTACTACTTTATAGATAGTTGCAACTTTCCCCTGGTTGTGTTTATGACTTTCTGTCTCTCGGAGTGGTTGGAAAGAATTAGATTTAGCACATACATGTGGTGGCTGTTACCCACCTGCTCCTGACACATGTAGCCTGTAAAAGTGAGTCTGAAACCAGCAGGGATTTATGCTAAAGTGATGAGTGGTGTGGCACTTCTGACCCTAACATGGGGCTGTTTATCTATTCTGTTTACTTGTCCTCCACCACTTTGTGGGAAATCTGATCCTCCATAAATTTAACTTTGCAGCTTTACATCCTGACCTTTGTGTTCTTATGACCTTTGACCCAGCATTTTCTGATTTCTTTGGGCAATGTGTTTGGCTTTACAGAGTGGTTTGTCTCTGCTTCCTGTCTTTGCTTGTTTGTTTGTGCGATCACCAGAGACCCACATGAGCCTTACAAGTGAAGCAAATTTCCATTCACATACTCAAGATCTCAGAAACATCTGCACTCTTTTGGCCTTTATCTGTTTTTCTTGACAGTATGTGAATTTAACTCAATGTCTCTCAGGCCCAGAATAGCCCCTAAAAATCATAAACACACACACACACACACACACACACAATGGGATACATTATGGCATATTTGCGTATCAGTACTGTTCTTTAAAAACCACCTATTTCCAAAACACCAGGTTTCATGAGCTGAGAAAAACAGCTACATCTGTAGTTTTGTGGCAATGAATTATTCAGCTAATCCGGTGATTTTGAAGCCATTTATTTATGTTTTTTGGGTTGTCTACTGATCCCTGGTTCCTTGGACAGAGCAAGACCTTTTGTGGAATTTTGCTGTTGCCACCTTGTTAGTGTGTATGTGAATAAGAATCTAATTGTAAAACACTGAATAAAACTGCTGTATAAATGCAGTGAATTTACATAACTCTTACTGTAAAATACAGAGGTCTTGAATATACAACTGCAGACAGTTAAATTTGTGATTTGTTACTCTGTTGAGCTGAGTGACGTGTCATGTGTGGGTGTACACCTGCATCTGTGCAAGCACAAAGTCCAAACACAAGAATGTGTGACAACCTGCGTTGCTCCATCATCCTGCATCTGTCAGCGGACGTCTGCAGAGAACGCAAATTTGAGATTTCCACGTCAACTGACATCATAAATAGATTCAAAATCAATGCACGCTGATTACCATGGTGATGTTGTTATGGCGACCAATCAAAGGGAGAGGTGAGTGTCTGTGTGTTCAGACTCTACTCCCCAAAATGCACCATGGAGTCAGAGCTTGAATCAAGCTGAGAGGTAAATTGTTGCCTGGAGGTGGTCGCAGAGGAAATGTTAAGGGTGTGTTTGTCACTTTTGCTTGATGATTTGAGCTGTTTAGTCTCAGCTCAGCTTATTATGAGATTAAAACATACTAAAAAATATATAGTTACCATATCTGTGTTTGTACATTTGTGTGTCTTCTTGTGCTTAGTTGAACTGTGTCACCTTTAGTTGGTTAACTTCTTTAAAAAGCCTCTAATTTCATCACAGAGCCAGTTGAGCTTGGCCGTCTGTACTCGAGGCCCGACTGGGGTCACAAAATTCCTTTCCAGCATGCAATTAAACAGACTGCCAGCGACAAACGGAGCTGAAAAACCTCAGCGTCATATTATTACATACCTCAGTTGCCATGACATCCGCAGTGTTTGTCCATGAGTCTGTGATGTTAAATGGCTGCAGGTGTAAAATGATGCATTGAACTATTATTTGAGTGCTGCTCTCAGTGGAAAGCTGAGAGCAGAAACAGTGTAAACTAGGACTGTCATTAACATCACCAGTGTGACAGGTGAGCTTTCTGCTGAGTTTACATTAGTGTTCAACTGATGACATCTGGAGAGCAGGAGGTAGATCATTTTAATAGCACCATAAAGTATTTTATCCACAGTCATAACATGACTTTTGTCTGGTTTCACATATCTGCCCTGACCACAAATCCACTGACCCAGAATTTTTTTTTTTTACTGCAGGCCCAACATTTTGCCCGTCAGACCCATTCACACTTGAATGGTGATTTCTTACCTTGGCACAGCTCCTACACTTGAGAAAAGAAGACATCTGGTTAAAACTAGAAACCCTGAGCTTCCAAATGTGTCACTTTGAGAAAAACTTCTCAGCTGCTTTTTCCAAAGAAAGGGAAATTATCACCTAGTCCCTAAGAGTGCTCTGCTCTTTCTCAGAGGAGCACATAACGTCTGGCAATACTGTAAGTGACAAAAGGGGCGTTAATGTTTTCCTCCTCCTCCTCAGCTTTTGTTCCATGGAGCATGCGCATGGAGATACAGTCCAGATTAAATGGCTCAGCCACTTCAGATACTACTCTGTTTGGCTGAGTGCCCCTGAGTGGGCCCTGCATGTGTGCTTGGCTTTAGTATGATTCAGTTCAGTTTAGGGTTTTGTTCTGTTGGTCCTTGTAGTGAGGTCTGTCCTTTCTTATCAGAAATGTTTTCCTACTGTTTGCACATCACTAGCAAATTCAATTGCAAGAATACACAGTGGTGGTGTGTGTGAGGATACCGTTGTGGAATTAACGCCTTCATTAACTAAATCTCCCCCTGGAGTTGTGGACTGTGGGAAAACACATGTTGTTGTCCACTTTCCTGACAGACAGGGAAACTTGTTTGGGCTTAAAGACAAGAGAGTTGAACCAAAACCACCCAGCCAAGAGATACAGTATAACTGAACTCTCCAAGGATGTGTGTGTTTGTGTGAGGGTGCAGAACAGAAAGACAAATCTGAACATACTGGAATTGTTTTAAGTACAAATGAGCAGATGCATATTTGCACAAACCTGTGTCAAAGCGTGTCTACATGCATGACAGTCTGTTCTGTTTTTAGCTGGACTGTGCACTATGCGTTGTGTGTAGTTTCCTCCCTGTGCAGTGAAAGCGCCTGGATGCTTCTAAAAATACCATGAGCCAGAGAGGAAAAGGAGTGAGGAGGGGAAAGGATTAACAGAAACATAAGAAGAACATTGGTCCTTTTCTAAAAGACAGCAGTCAGGGAGGGAAGCCTGGAGACAAGAGGTCCCACTGTGGCCTAGACAGGAATGATTTCCCTCATTCTCTCAAATTTACTGTATTTTTGATGCACTTTAAGCTGAATAAGTTACTTAGATAAATATGAAATGCCCTTGTTTCTGTCTTGCGGTGCTACTTTGAGTTACAAATATGTCTCTTGCTCTGTGTGTGTTGGCAATTTGGAGTGCACCAAGAGCCAGCTCTACACTCATTACATTAATTTCCGTCTACTTAAAAACTGACGGTTGTAGATACAGGGGCAGACTTGTAGACCAATCGTGAAGAGATGAGGAGGAGGAAGAAGAAGAGAAGGAGGAGGAGGAGGAGGGGGCGGGTTAGGAGAAGGAGGAGAGAGTCCAGATGGAAAGGAGCAGCATCGGCGCTGCAAGAGACAGATAGAGAGAGAGAGAGAAGGAGCGACAGGCTGTGGAGGAGAAGACGCAAAGCTTCACCGCTGCCTGGAGATGAAACATACATCTCTCAAACCCTGAGCAATCCGATCTCACTTGGTGTCGCCATGTATTTTGGTACGTAGAGCAACGCATTGTGCAAAGGATTTGCTTGTTGTTGTTGATAATAACGCAGCGGAATCACTTGTTGCTATGTTGAAATGGATGAAAGCTGAGTGAAGTCAGTCAACTGCACAGTGCAATAGACAGAGGCAGTTATAGTGCAGTTTAGTCAATGCATTTAACAGAATTAAAAGTCCAAATCGTGCACGTCTCATGCTTGTTTTAGTTTACATGTTGCGCTTGACTCGTCAAACCGCATGAAAAATATCAAAAGCACATCGGGTGATATGGTATACAAAAATAATAGTAGTAAAACTCACAAAAGACAGATCAGAAAATACCCTGTGCTTCATTATAATTTATTATGCATGCCTAATGCATGCTGAATGCCCTACGCTATAAAGTTATGGAACTCATAAATTAACGTTGACCGCGTCACATTTCACTATCCTTTATTTAAAAAGTGACATTTAAGGTCGTGTGTCATTTCTTACTAATGCAAACACATACACATGACTTAGCTCGTTAAAGCAATCAGTCTAATGGCAGAGCGGATGGCTGGGCTGTGATTGTGATTATGATGATCACACATGCGGACTGGTCCTGAATCCGACTGCAGGCCCCATCAGGCTGAGGGGACATGCAACCTGGACAACGCGCTCCTGTAATGAGGACCCAGCATCACAAACACG